CACAATCAATCAATCAATCAATCAATCAATCAAACCCCTTTTTTGAAGTTTTTTCTTTATTTATTTTCAAATTTTGCATCTGCATTTTTTTAAAACACCCATACCCCTGCAAAAAACAGCAATTCATTTCTAAAAAAATACAGGTGAACTCAGAGACCATATATCTCATGATAAAAAATAACAAAAAAAAAATCCAACTTTTCTTTATATTTTTGTTCTTAATTTTTTTTTAATCAAATTTAGTTTTTGATTTTTTAACAATCCTAAACAAAGTCGGATTCCCCAAAAAAAATATGGGGTTGTAGGGCTTAAGATTCCCTACAGCCCCATATATATATATATATATATATATATATATATATATATATATATATATATATATATATWTATATATTATTTAATTCACAAAAAGTCTGGTAAAATCGGGCCCGCGGAGCGGACCAGGTCGGCCGTAGATGCGGCCCCATTTGCGTCCGGCACCCAAGATCGGACCCGCGGACGTGTCCACGGGTGTTTCATAGCACGCTGCTGCCAGGATCTTCCTTTCTCGCCTTCCCGGTGGCTGTCCGCTTCGATTTAGCAGAATTGTTCGACTCCACGCATCTTCCGTTCGATCCTCCCGCCAGTGTTGCATCTGTTCCAACGCCCGGAAGGTTCTCTGAGGCCAGCGTGTTGTCACACCTAATCGACGGCCGATTTAGCTGCCACTGCATAGCGTCCCACACAGCCTTCTCAAATGAAAGCGCGAGACTCTTCTCCTTTCGATCCTCCGTAGACATATCCCAATACGACGGCTGTCCACACGCTTCACACTTCTCGACGATGAGCTTGGCCGTCGCTAGCATGTTCGACCACTTCTTGCGGCAGTCTTCACCGCTCCTGTGCTTGAAGCCTGCATCCGCCATCCTATCATTCACCCATGCATACCGGTCTTTCCTCTGCTTGAATCGGTGCTGGCCGTTAGCATCCGCCATAAGAGCATCATCCTCATCCATCAAAATCGCAAGCTTCATCCGCTCATCCAACGTCCATGGGACGTTTGGCTTCTTCTTCAGAGCTGGCGGGCGGCCATTCGCAGGTCGTCCGCCGACCGCTCCACCACCCGCACCCTGGCCTGTAACATCACCCTGCCCGCCCGTCGAACTTGCGACCATGGGGACGGCGGTTCCTTGCTCTGCCTGACCATCTTCGTCGCCCACTTCCGAGCCGCCTTTGCCTTCATCGTACACTGACTCCGCGCGAGTCTCGGGGGACACAGGCCTTGCGTTCGGCCGATTCCAATGGGCATCCGTGTCAACGCCCTCTGGTGGAGATGGAGAACACCGCGCGCCGAACAACCTCCCAACCCACGACCATGCTCTGTGTGGGCGCTGACGGCATGCCGAAGCCGGCAGCCATGCTCGTGCTTTCTACGCATCCCCGCGATCCATACAAATCGTACTGCTGCTGGACGGACACAGGATGATCACGAACGGCGAAAACGCCGTCCGCCCGCGTGTCTCGCGGATGTGGACCACCACGTGGTACAACCGCGTGCATGCTCTCCAGGGACTGCCCAACACACCCTCCACCGAAGGGCGTCGGCGGAGAAGCACTGCGTGCAGGGTAGTACGGATGTTGCATGGCCGATGAGGACTTACACATGGTGGTGAATGATTGCATGCTTTGTGCATGCTGACCTTGATGGGGCCGTGCATTCAGCTGTCCATCGTGAATGTCGTCACCGCTGTCGAAACCACCGACGACATCATCCATCCAACCCCTGCGATCCATCGCACACTTGCTAGCTACAACAACGGACAAACGGTAACAAAAGGCGGCACCTTTCGCCACACCCGTGTCGGGGTTGACTACCGACGCGTGGACACAAGCACAATGGCAAGAAACAAAACAAGTGTGGACAACAACAACAACCCCACTACGAAGACGACGACGAGAACGACTGTTGCGGCCACAAGGGACACAACGACGAGTGATAAACCACCTGTACCCCCCACACCGCGCCCATTACCCACAATGACAACGACAGGACAATCCGTGAAGGAACACCAGCGACAAACCCCGGAAGCTGAATGTGCTGATGGAGGACTGCCCTGTTCGATCACCACGTGCCCTGTATTCACGTGCTGACGCTCGGCGGGAGGACTGCGAACCTCCAACGATGGATTCCACAAGGGAGGACCTCCATTGCTGAATGGAGATCGCGTGCAGTGTGTGACATAGAACATTGACAGGGGTGTGCGTGGGACCACCCTCAGAGCAAACGACGGGATTGTCGAAGAAACCACCACGTCAACACACCCGCTTCCACGAAAACAAGCTCGTGCAACTGCACGTCCCGAGCTGAACACAGGAATCTGTAGTAGAGTTCGAACTGCAACGGAGGCATCCGAATGCGTCCAATGACGATTCCAAAGACCACGCACGTGCGACGTGGCAGCGCGTCGGATTGAACGCCCACGGCCGAAACAAGCAATGTTCTGGAGAAAGCGCATGGCAGATCGACCTTCCACCCCACGTCACTTCGAAGAGGACAACGGCGGACAACGAAGGGCGGGAACGTGCAATCTCGGACACGTGAACGACACACAGGGCGATGGATTGTCTGCCTCCTCTCCGCCCCAATTACTTGTTGCAGATTTCGAAAAAAAACGTTAACGCACCACACAAATTTGAATTGCGCGTTCCCGCTTTGCACAATGCAATGGGACCACAACGGGCGACCACCTCCGGGGACCACCAACGGCCAGTTCTGAAGTCTTGTGCGACATGCACTTCGTTTGTGGGGTCTCGTCCTGGACCAAACGTTTGTCCGTGACGCTGTGACGAACCAATTTCTGTAGCACGCGACTTTCTGCCCGATTGCAATGAGGGGTCCTAAGTTGGGAAGGTTGGGCCAATTACGGGAGATTGGGATGGATGGGAAATTGCATCAGTTACCTCGCTTCTTCGTCTTTTGCATGGATTCTTTTCGGATGGCTGAGTTCGGAGCTGGGTGTGTCCCAGGATGGGCGATTGATTGGTCAGGCGGAAGGCTGGCACGCCGCCGAGCGCGCGAATAATAAATGTTGACGTCGTTTCTTTTGTTTCGGTTTCGGAACCTTTTAGGCGCGGACATCGCGCGGAAATTTTGCTTCGTTCTTTTCGAATTTCCCTTTCGAATTTTTTTTCGAATTCTTTTTCGAATCTTGTCGAGCCCCGATGGCTCTCGGAATTTCGGACTTTCTTTTCGCAACTTGTGCTTTTTGCTTTTTCGCATTAGATTGGAATTTAGGAATTTTGTAATTAGGACTTTCTTTTGTCGAGCGACGCTTTTTACTTACGCGCTTCTTTATGCAGCTGTAACAGGATTCTAATTAGTCGACGCCTTTAATCGGGTGTGTAACTGTAATTTTGGGCGGGCGCCGTTGTAA